GAAGATTAACCAGAAGAACTTTGAACCAGGATAAGAAGTTTCGCTTTACAATACAAGGCTGAAGTTATTCCCTAGGAAATTGAAGTCTCGTTGGTTAGGACCCTTTACTGTGAGTCGAGTTTATACTTACGAAGCTGTTTAAATTGAAGATTAGAAGATTGAAAATAGATTTAAAGTAAATGGACACATATTAAAACCATATTTTGAGAGTAAAAGATCAAATTTTAAAGAGGTTTTAATGATCAGTCAACCTGAATAAACCTAAATAAGACGGGCTGACGACGTTAAACTAAGCGCTTTATGGGAGACAACCCATAGTTATCTTTATTTTTTTTGTGATTATAGTAGTTTTTATTTAAAATTATCATTAGTTTGTGGTATTATTGAGTTATACTACTCTTATTTACCCTTGAATCATCATAAAAATTGGATCCATAGAGAAAAATTGGAACACATTCGAACTAGAGTAAAACTGTGTAATTTTTTCCTCGGGTGTCGACGCCGCCGACGGCGTGTTTTTCCTGAGAGTCCAGGAAAATAAATACTAAAGGCTCCCCGCGGCGCCCCCCCCACCCCCCTACCCCTTTTAAACTCCCAAATTCAATTCCTAAGTTCATATTTCCCCCAAAAATGAAGTGAAACTCCACCAAATGCATTCCTATTGCGTCCATTTCCCTCAAAAATCCCAGAATGCGAGCGTTCAACCTGAGAACGTTCATAGTGCGAAAACGCAGCGAATCTTCAACAGGTACTGGCGAAGAAAATATTAATCAAGGAATGAGGGTTCATAATTTGAGGATTGAATAATCCCTCGAAGGCAATTGAAGAGATGATAGTGCGGCGAAGATGGGAAGTGTTGTGCTATACTACCGCCGTCGTGGTTGTTCCTGTGGTGAAGGAATTTTATGCTAATTTGCATGGAATCAACCAGGGAGTCGTCTATGTGCGAGGTAGATGGATAAATTTTACTCCTGCACGGATCAATGATTTATATAAGATCAAGAACGTTCCTGTCTGCTATTATTCCAACTTCGTCCTGACAAGAAACCAGATGAATGAGATTTACCAATATTTAACAGACAAAACTGAAGACTGGGAAATGAGAGAAAACGGGTATGTTAGTTTTTCTGAAACACTCCTAAATCCCATTTCAAAACACTAACACTTCTTCATTTTTGCAAAATTGTTACCGACAATAAAGATCGGTAAAGTTTCTAAAGAAAGTGCTATTCTGAATTACTGCATTCAAATGAGACTGCCGATTGATATTGGATCAATAATTGTGAAGTCTGTTTTGGGCCTGATCGTTCATGGATCAACTTATGGGCTTGGAAACCCTTCCAAAATTTACTTACTTTGCAGTCAATTCCAAGTATCCTATGAAAATTGGGAAAATGTACTTCTACCTTGGAAGCCTTTGGACCCAACTGAGAGATTCCCAGCCTATGAAGATGAAAATGACATGACTATTATGGTAGATCAATCGTCTCAGAATTCACTGCCTATCCAACCTTTAGTTCTGAACAAGACACTGATGTTCCTGTGTAGAATCAAGAAATTAGAGAAGGAGGTACAAAATTTCATGAATGCAATTAATAATATCTCTGATTTCTTCGATCATCTAGACTGGAGGATGAGAGAATATTTTTCTCTCTCTAGACATATAGAAGATAGTTTGATACGACTGATGAGGAGGATGAAATTCATAGAAGAGGATTTTACTGAAGAATTTCCATACCGACCCTTCCATAACCTCTTCGTACATGTGCAATCAATGGGTGATCTCAGAGGAGAATCTAGCACTGAATCTAAAGAACAATAGATTTATATTGCTACCTGTCTGTCTATGTATGTAATTTGATTTGAATCTTGCATTTGCTTTGCTTTAGAATTATGCTTTTAGATCTCTGTATAGTTGAGACTAAGCATATGATGTTTGTTTTCAACGTTTTGAGTGATGTGGCTTGGATTACGATGCTGAATTAATGTATTAAGGATTAGAAAATACCAAACTTAGGTGTGTTATGTAACATATATTGTAACTATTAGAATTTATATATAATTGTGATGTTTTGTATTATGAAAGTTTATTTGTGATAAGTACATGATTTAATCACTTAAAACTATGTTTATGATGATTGAACGAATGTCGTTGAGGCTTGAAATTGATCGAAATCACAAAAATCCGGGAATTAAACCAAATCAATAGAGCCCGCCGACGGCGGACTTTTCCCGAGACTTAGTGTATAATTTCAATAGAGCGCACTGACGGCACCGAAGACCCCGCCGACGGCGAGATCTGGAAAAAACACCTTTAACAGCAATTTTGACCAGTCAACTGCCACTATTCATCATCCCCTTCCTCTGAAAAATGTAATTTTTGACCTAGGGCTTGAGAGATCTTGGATTGGGAGTTAATTTCAAGGCATTTAGACACTGGATTTGATCATCTCTAGATTGAAATGGCTCCACGACAAAAGAGATGACTTGAGTTTGACGAGTCTCGCTTTGTCAATGCGAAGGCTCAATCAAGGTTTATTTCAATATTTGAGGGAAAGAAATGCATACAAGATTGAGTTTTTTGAGAGTGCGGGAGGAGAAATTGAACGAGTTATTATCGAGCAGAGGTGGGAAAACTTCTGTTACACCAAAAATAAGGCTGCCGCAAGTATTATTAAAGAGTTTTATGCCAACGTGTTCTATTCTGAACTACGGAATAGTTCAAGTGCGGGGATTCCCTGTTGAATTTAATGCCGCCCACATTAAAACCTTTTACGAAGTCCCAGACTCTTATAACTGCCATTATGAATCCTTCAGTACTATGGAAGGCCCCCTGAATGATTTCATCAACTTTCTCACTGATGGGAAAGGAACGTGGAAGATTAAGCAAGGAGAACGGGTAAATTTTTATGCTTTCATGTTAAATGCCACCTTTAAAGCGTGACACTATTTTATTTCCTCTACTCTGTTACCGACCGACTTATCACCATGGTGAGGTAACAAGAGATAGAGCTATTCTGAATTTCTGTATTTGGAATAATAAAAATATAAATGTGGGGAGAATCATTTTTTAGAATATATTGACTACGACAAGGAGTGAAACAAGTGGAGGTCTAGGACATCCTGACCTTTTTTATGCACTTTGCCAACTTTCTGGAGTGGAAGTTGGAGGTGATGAGGAATGGGTTTACCCTATGAAACCCATTAGTAAAGTTAATTTGAAAACTTATGAATACTATGAAAAATGGAGAACTGGGAGTAGGAGTCAAGAATCTTCTACTGGTAGAGATGTCCCCTCTACAAGTTATGACCTTCCACCTTCTAGTTCCCCTACCCTAACTGACTTGATGAATGAGTTGACCTTGCAGCGAATGAGTATAGAATTAATAAATGAAAGGATTGGAGGTTTAGAACGTCGACATGATTATGATAGTGAGTACCTTCAGAGGCATTCAAATTTTGAG